CGTCCAATGTTGTCACTGACACGTTCTTGTTGTCGAACGGTCCATCTGGTGCCAAATTGTTTCGGATCAGTCGCTCAAGCTCATCGCGATCATTGGGAGGTTCTCGAGATCGTTGTGGCAACGTTGATCGGGGTCCGTCATCGGCCCCTCGGGGTCCGTCATCGGCCCCTGGTACATCTGAGATATGTGGAGGTGGGTGATCTGGACTCCTTGGGGCAGGTCTCGAAGAAATTGGCCTTGATGGAGCTGGTCTCGAGGTTGGGCTTCGATCTCTTCCCAAGCTCCTTCCCCTGGATGCTTGTGCATGCCTCCAAGGTGGCAGCTTCTTGCGGCTGAAGCTCGGGGATCTCCTGCGCCTTGGAGGTGAGGGCGGCGTCGGCAATCTTCGTCGACGCAAAGGACTCCTTGATCTTCGTCCTGTTTCGGCCATCCTTTTGATCTCAACCTGTTCTGTCCGAAGATGTCCAACGTCAGTTGCAAGCCCTTGTACCAAACGTCGAATCTCATCAAGTTGATCTGATGTAGGATGACCTGCAGTGGGATGATCTGATGTAGGATGAGATGAATGTTCATCTGAAGCATCATCGGCTGGAGCGTCACGCACGTCACGGCCTGAACTCACACTGCCTCGTGATCGTGCCAACCTTGACATGTTCGGGATCAAATGTCGAATTTGTCCCAAGCTCGCAGCCATGTCTTGACAACCATGGCAAACACCACCACAACGCATCTCGCCCCACTTCCAAGATGATGCATGAATGAGAACAACGTCATAACCAAGAACTTTGAGACATCTGAAGGCAGCAAATCCTTGTCCCACTGACCTGTGGCGGCCTGACTTGCACTCCAGGTCCACCAACACCTTGCTGTTAGCCTCCTGCTGAGTGACGAACTCCAGGATGTTGTTGAGATGTTGAATGAACCTGTCCACCTTGCTCAGCGTCTCAAGGATTCCATGATGCCAACCCACGTGAGATCTAAGGTTTACGTCCTGATCAGGATCGTAAATGTCCTCACAGTTGATACTCAAAGTGTTCCTGCTAGTTCTGCACGCATGTTGTTGAAATCTACGCCCACGAGTCATGATGATCACCTTCCTGTCACTGCGCAGTTCCTCATTCAACTTCGTCTGCAAGATGTCATAGTCCCTCGAATGAAAACCACACATGTCATGGTCGGCCATGGCAACTTCCGATGTGGATGCTGTGTATGCAATGTTGTCCTTTCTGTGACACTTTGGGATTTGGGGAAGTTCATTTGGCGGTGTGTTGTTGATGTTGGTCAACCCTTCAGTCAAGTTCATCGCAAGTAAACCTGATTTTGAACACCTCTTGATATTCAATGGTTGATCTTTGATGGAAACCACTCCTTTTGCTAGGTCCTTCACTAGGCCTAATTGGTTTGCGCATGCAATGAAAGAAGCAATGGACTGTTGCCTATGAATCCAACTCCCCATTCATGTTCCCGTCTGGAAGCAGCAGCGAAAAAGGAATAGATCTCACACCTTCGGTCTCGGTACTACCACTTCCCAGACCAGCAAAACTCTTACAACCGTCATCCTTCAATGGCATGCTGTAACCCAATCGGGCCAGTCGTGCTTCTGCATCGACTGCCCAGGCTTTGCTATGACAAGTGCTGTTGCAACCTTCATCCAACACTGCAAAGACATGAGATGACCTGGCAATGTCAACAGTTTCATAGTTCATGTAAACCAAGTCTTGGGGGTATTGAATGTCACTTCCATGCAAACAAATGCCAACGTACCCAGCTAACTCCCTGCCCGAGGGGTCGCCGTGCCCATCTTCATTGACAAGAGAAAAACTGTCCTCTTCCTCTGTCACGTCATTGATGGCTTGATGGAGTAGTTCATGTAGACGTGCACGGGTCATGACCTCAGATTGACAGGTTTCAGTAACAAGAGTAGCAAACAGGGGCAACAACTCTTCCAACTGGACTGGATTCAATCCATCCGATTCTTCAACCAATGATTCAACAATGGGGACTGCTCGAACTGATGCTGTTTCAACCTTCTTGGCAATTGCAACACGCTCCTTACGAATCTGCATAGGAGCTTCATCAATGAAAGTGCAACACTTCTTGCAGAAAGTACGGTGTGTTGATTTGCTGGATCCCCGAAAATCTGTGTCGTCATGGAGCAATTTTCAGGGGACATCAACGGTACCATGTCACGTCTTGTTGTTTCGGAATGACCGCACACAAGACAGGTCTTCCTGATGGTGTACCCCGTAGAACCTTGTTTTGTAAACTCACGACATTCCTGACACTTGTTCGGCAAAGGTGGATTTGGGGGTTTCCTCCTGCCAGTCTCCCGAGTCACCAGCAAATCTCGGTGCTCGACATGCTCAAAAGGGACTTCGCGCAAGTGAATCCCATCAGCACCAACCACAAAGTACTTGTCAACCCAATTCAACCATGTGACATAGTATGGACTCTTGGGGGTATGTTTCTTGGCATGATGATAGTACCCTGTCTGTTCAAACAACACATTCCAAAAAGACAAACCCTTGAACTGTCCAACAGGAAAGATGCACCCATGGTCCTCGGGTCTCATTGTAACATCGAGATCCCGGGAAATCAAGCCAACGTTGCTGCTGGATGCTGCTGCACGTGAAGGTCTGCTGCTAGGCTTCGCTTGTCGAACTGCCATCATAGCAACTGCATCTCTGTCACGGTCAGGTGAAGCCGTCAAAGTCACACCATCATCATCTGAGAAGAATCGCTCATGTCGGCAAAGTAAGCTGCGGGCTTTGGGGCTGGTTTCCCAGGGGCTCCAGATTTGGACCCCGGGAATTTACATTCCGGGTCACCGGCCCAGTGCCCTATGACTCCGCATCTCAAACATTTGCTCTTCGACTTCAGCTCTGTGAGCTTCCGTCTCCTCTGATCGATCGTGAGGTTGGACTTCACGATCTTTCCTTTCCCCTTTCCTTTGGGCTTCCCAAAGGATTTGCCCTTGCCACCTGCTTTCCCCATTGCGGTGAAAGCAGCAAGTTGTAGCTGGATGGCGTCTCCTGCTTGTCGATTGTCTTCTGCACCTTCAAGTTCAAGCAAGCTGTTCAATGCAACTGCTTCGTACTCATCGACATCGTCAAAGTAATCAAATTCGTTGTCACCTTCTAGGTTTCCTGGCTCTTCTTCTGCAATGTCACCAAGCATACCAACATATGAATCATCCTCCCAGGATTGATTCGCAGCTTCATCTCAAGATTCTGCATGATCCTCCCCATCATCGGGGTAGGCTGCATAAGCTGCTTGGGAATACGATCCCTTCGAAGAAGGTTTGCCTTTGCCATAACCCTTGCCTGTTGATTTGCCAAGTTGTTGAGGATTACCACGTCCTGTCCAGGATCGTGACCCTTCTCGCAAGTGAGTGCCACTGTAGTTCTCGATCAGCACCTTGCCAACACCTTCAAAATCCTTAGTGTCTGCACAAGCCTTCACAATGAGGATCTCTTGTCGATTGAGTCCACTCAACTCCAACATCAACTCTGTCCTCAAGCTGTCTGAAAACACCATTGTGTCATCCAACTCGCAAAGCATGTGCCACCAACGTCGTCTCCTCTGAACATAGGAAAGCATGGGTTCGCCTGGTTGGCGAGACAAAGGTCCACCTTGTTTCTGTCCTGCACGAAAAAGTTCCTTTGCTTCCTCACGAGCTCTTGGAAACACATGGGATCTGATCTCACCCACAAGTTTCACCAAGCCACCAGGTTCGGACAACACTTCAAGTCCAAGATCCCTAGCTATTGAGAAAGCATCTCCTCTCAGTCCTTCGATCACCTTGCTGACCAATGGTCCACGATCAACATCTGTCTTCTGCTTGCCGGACTTCGAGGATTTCCGGCTCGCTCCAGACTTCGGAGTCGAGACCGCTGATGTAGGTTGGGCTGCTTGAGTTGCACCCGACAAATCTGGAAAAGTAGCATACTCATCTGCGTCTTCTGCGGCAGGCTCTGTTGCTGTGGTCCCAACGGGATCCGCAGACTTACTTGTCTCCTCCAGTTGTTGCTCATAAAGACGAATCCGAAGGAGTGTCCTGAACTGCCAATCATGAAAGTTCGCCGCATCACCTGCATAGATGTATGATCCACTCTTCGTCTCAAGTGGTGCCGACGAATGGCGCTCCTGGCTGAAACGAAGGCCATTGATCGACATGATGCTCGCTCCGTTCGGAGTCGAACAAGGAAAAACGTTAACAAGTGCCTGCCCTGGTCAGGGTCAGACAGATTCCCGAACCACGACACACTCGAAGTTCAGTTGATTCCCAAAGTTACCAGACTCAAATTCACAAAGGGGTCCCTGGGTCACTGACGTACCACCGGATGCGGGTCGTCACCCGCTCCGCTACCAATATGAATTGGAAACGGGATCGTTAGTGCCCAACTTTTACCACGGCAGCGCGGTATGACTCAAGGGCCCTAAAGCCAAACGTCAACGGGGGCATGTGATCACTTGGCTATACAAAATGTACATTAGACAGGTCAAACTCACATTAGTGTTCCAGATGGCAAAAGGAGGGAACAGTTAATTGCTTGAACTTCTCAAATGCGCGCGCATATTTCACGGAAAAACGCAATCCATGACCGAGGGTCGGGAAGGAAGAAAGATCATCAGAGACAATCATCAAAATATATTATGACCGGGACACAACTGCCGCAGCGGCGGTCATGCCAGTCAATGCTATAGTTGTTTGGAGCACTGGAACACTTTGGACAACTTATCGTTGAGAAGAGTCCTATATCATACTATATCATACTATATCACTATATCTCTATATAAATATATAATCTGAGCAATATCTGAGCATTACCTCATGTAACTTGATCATGGAGATCCAACCACCCCGGCCAATGACGAGATTCAGCCTTACAAAATGCTGTTGGTTGAACCCCCTTGGCTTGAGGGTCAAGTGTGACCGCTAAAAGGCACCCATGGATTTCACCAGAAATCTCCAACGAGATCCGTTACAAACAAGCGGCCCACTCCACTCTTAGAAGCCCGCTGGAACGGAATCCAGGTGCCCTGAGTGTTGTGGCTGTAAAGAGATGGAGGAAAGTTGCGCATTGCTCTACATCAGACTAATTTCATTATCATCATATAATATAAATATATACATATATATAAATCGTATTATATCAATTTATAAGTTATATCATGGGTTTTATCATGTAGCTCAGACCTATAGCATGTGTTCTGTTTCGAACCATGCCTAGGATCCTCCAGTCAGTCAAGTTTACAATCATACCATTTGTTCTATGTAGCAGACTGTACCTAATTAGGCCATTTCTTACTAAGATTTTCAAGTTTTTGACAGGTCTTCCAATTGCCAATAGCATTCTCACGTCCTCCTTATCACACACCCTGACAGCCATGACAACCTCGGCAGTAATGAATATATGGCGCCCAAAAAATGTTCTTTACCTTCTGGCTTCCCCAAAATCCAGGACATTCCCATATATTGTTGTTGTGTAAATGCCCTATTTCTTTGGACATCTTTGGAAAAATACATTTCAACAACCCAAAATTGAGGAGATGAGGTAAGTTTGGGAGAGTTACCCGTACATGGACCATCATTTCCAGTGATGTCATCCAGTGAGGTCATTCTAATTAAACCACAATTATGGTTGCTTAATGTTGCTTATAATTCAATACCCATTCTTTCAGTTGTTCAATTGCCTTAAATCAAACTATGTCTTGCTGAATCCCCATGCTTGTTGATTAATTATGATCAACTTGAATCCCCTCGGTTGCAAGAACCCAAGGCACAAACACGACTGCAGTCGCTTTCGCTTCAGCGCCGGCCGCGGCGACCGCATCGACCGCAGCAGATTGCGCATGGCGCATGCAGCTTCCAGCGGCGGCGTCCGTGGCGAGGGCGGCGAGCGCGGCGAAGGCGACGGCGAGGGCATCCGCTGCGCGCGCTCGGGTGGCGGCGAGGCCGGGGTGAAGGGCTCCATCAGCACCTCTTGCGGGGATGGGACCATGCCATGGACATATAGATACACTCATACAGATACATGTAATCAATGTAATCTCTTCTATAGCAAATCTTTAAACATTAAGGCCATTAAGGTTCACCCAGCAATCAGGATACTTCACTTCGGTGGAGAGAGGTCCTTATGGTCAGGGTCTCAATTTCTTCAAAATCAATATGTTGACAGTCGCAGCTCCAGGGACCCTTTCATCCCCTTTTGGTGGGCATGTGTTAGATTTAGAAAACCACGGTTGTTGATGCCTTTTGGCATTGAGCGTCCAACATTGAAGTTTCACCCTGTCCAAGCCGTGCCCCTCTGACCTCTACTATATAATATTACTTATTGCGGTAGTTTGGGACTTTAGCCTTGGACTTCCATTACCAAATTTCAATGAATCGTACGGGATAGTGATGAAAGCCGACCAAACTACCAAGCGTTTGAACCCCAACAGCTCGAGTATCCAATCATATCGTTCTATATTACACAAAATGGATTCCCATTTATGTCCGTTGTTCACACCCCAAGAGCTTCCCATGCATCATATATCCCGAAGCCTTCATCGAGAAATTCTGGTGGATTGCCCCAAATGTTTGTCCCCCCGAATTTGGGATATGGATCAAACATAATCAAAATCACCCCAGTAAAACAGGTCCCACAGGTCCCACAGACTAAAAACTGGACCTCCACCTCTAGCTCAACTGCATTCTCCTCGGGAGATCGCGGAAGCAACCCTGGAAACAAATCATGACAGGTATAGCCTGTATAGCGCATAAAATTTGGATGAATCATGGTGAAAACAGGAGAAATACTAAAGTATCAGCAATACTGTAACACTGTAAAACTATGATTTACTATTAATCACATGTCGATCCCTTTTTTGATGGGGGTGACAATGTACAGGGCCGTTCATCGACCTACTTAAGATCTTAAGCAAAAGTTTACCTCCAAACCCTGGAGTTCCACTTATCTTTGAGATAGGTTGCCTGGTTGATTCTGCACATTGCAAAATGACCTGGAAAACTAACAAAGGTGTGGTTGTAGTTTTCGATGTAGTCTCTCTTCACACATGGGTATACATCGCCAAGTGGTGGGTTTGAAATCAATCGTTTTGCCGTTGATAGAATCATGATCAATCATTGGGTTTTGACTTATTCTGGGGTGTTCCACAGTATTTCGCTCATAGGTGCCTATACCCCAACGTTTGTTCGATATTTGATTGGGCAAAGGAATGATCATTACTGTACATACCCCATGACTTTAGTGGTCAGAATTCAGAATCCCCATCTTTCATTCAGTTTCTGTTGAATTCTTGGGGGTCAACATTGGATACCCTTCAAATTGGATGCTTCATAGTTTAAAAAAACGATGATTGCCTGGCTTGATTTTTTACCCATTGGTTGAATCATCCCTTTTACTGTTACAGTAACTCCCCATAAACTATATGATGGTCATTTTTCAATCCCCAGATCCCGGTCCTCTGGGTGTGCGTCATCCGGCTGATTGTCACTGGATTCCTGCATCCCGCCACATGGATGGATGGATCTTGATGGAGTGGATGATGACTTTGAGCTGGGCAAATTGCTATCATTTTCACATTGGAAATGATTCATTCTTTGATACAAGACCCTATGTGGAATATTGGTTGCCACTGGCCACTGGAGTGAGGGTCTCATCAGAACCAACCTTGAATACACAATTAGGGACGTAAGTAGCACAACACATGGATCCGATTAAGACTCCAGTTGGTGTTTAAATCCGAGTCATCATAACTAAAATTGGGAACACGGCTCAAACAATCATGCTTAACAGGAACTGGCTCGCAACTAACTGCAAAAACACACGCGTGCAAATGGACTTAACATAGCAATAGGGTGCTTCCTAATCATGGCTACCATCCAGTGTGAGATCTACTTGTACGACCCATTCCAGATCCTATTTCAGCCTATCATCTTGATCGTACAACTTCAACCATCACTTCCGAGCCGTAGTCTATTGTATTTCAATTTCCATCTATTACAGCCCTATGACTAACCATTAAAGCTTCTATTTAACTATCAGTTGGTGAATCCCACAGTTAATTGGCAAATGGATCTATTATATAAATCATATATTTTCCATGATATTCCCATTCTCATCACCATCTTTAATCCCATTCTCGATTCTCGTTGGTTAATCATGATTAATTAATCCGTGTATTACCTCCATGATATTCCTGTAAGTGGGTGAACTGTTTACATTATTTACTATATCTACTGTACTCAGAATATCCCTTGTCCCCATTGACCCTATTATATGAATCTATGATAATGTTAGTAAAGCAATAGTAAACCATCACCAATTTTACAATCTTGATGGGTGGTATAAACCAAACATATAATATAGATGGTTTATGAAATTGCTTTACTAACATTAATGAGTATATGAATCTATCAATCTATACCTATGAATTGTCATGTTTTTACCATTATGATAATGGGTGAAATATCGCTTATAATTCTTTATTATCCCTATGATTCCCTATGTATCTATGGTATTCCCGGTGAACAACTCCCGGAGCGCAGTGGAAACGTCACCTCCGTGCGCAGCTGAAGCTCTCGCTCCAGGCAGTGCCGCGCTTCCTCCACGAGCTCCACCGTGTTGAGCCCCGAGACGCCGACGTCGTGGTCCTGGAGGCGTCGTCCATGGCTTTTCTCCAGTGGAATCCCATGGTGTTCTGAATTTTCATCTTGGAAACATGAATAAATTCGGTAGATCTAAGAAGTTGAGATTTGGAAATCAACTTGTAAATTGAACACCAATGGATGGATCAGTTGAAAATGAATGAACTGGATGGATCATTTCACCATTTCTGCATTCATGTGACAGATATCATGATATCTCCCTACATACAATCACTTTGTTTCATGGCTTCTCCGTGGAAGATACCCCGATTGAACCTGAAACATCTGGGTTCACTAGTCACACATTTTCCTCCTGACGAGAATCCCTTTCCATGTTAAATTTAGGGGATGTCTATGATTATCGCAGAGTTGCAGGGGACATCAACAGGAAAACTCGTACGAGAGTCAACCATTTGCGCCTTGTTTCTCCCCCAGTTTCCACCTGATGGAGTTTTTTCTCAGCCTTTCAGCAGAGTCAACCGTATGTGATGGTGAAGCCATGGTGTCCTGTGCTTCTTGTAAACCAATATCTATTGGACATTTTTACCCTTTTTTTATATATGTTACATGTACAATGCCTACGATGGATTTAAAAAGAGTGAGCAAAGATGAGCATGATTATACGCTTTAAAAATCAGGCGAGGGTCATATGTGACTACTCATTCGGGTTGGAAGGCTATATCTTGAAGATAAGTAAAAATAATAAGACATTGGACGCTATTTGAATGCATATTGATGCCGGGTATTATTTGTAACTAGGCTATGACATATTCCCCAAATGACAGCGAAAGCGTTACATGCTGTTTTCAAGGGATCGGATTATCCTTGGGTTGCTACAGTGCATTGATACTCTCATCATCCATGTCAGCCAAGTTGTCATCGCTAAAATGCTGGATTATCTCACTCATGTGCTTTGGGTAAAGACTACAGGGGCTAACCCCTCTATTCATCAACCAACCGGTAGGAGAACAGAGAACAACTCATTATATCCTCGTGTTTGACGGTTGAATCGCAATCATTGGATATTCTCGGGTCAAGTGGGTCAGTATCCCCATGTTTTGCTGCTCAAATCCCAATGATTGTGTACAGAAAACCTCCAAAATTTGGGGAGATCGGAGATTGATTGAATCAAATGAATCCTCTGCAAACCGTTGCTGAAATCCCCCACCCCACATCTAGCCGGTGCCAACCCAAAATCCTCTAAAAGGTCCTCTTGACGTGGCAACTCTGGCACGTCTTGGAAGTCCTACAGCGCATCATGACACAAACTCACCTCCCAAAAAATGTACAATAATGACCCCCGACGGTGATCAGAGTTTGCGGGAATTGACTTTTCTATCTTTTTTGGAGGTTGAAGTAATCAATTTAACAAAGTCGCCTTGTCCTGGTGGAGTAATCCTAAGTTCCCGCATAAAAAAAACAATTATATAATGGAATGCTAAAATGATAAAATGATTAGAAAAGTCACTATTTGGATCTATTTGGTTTATCAATGGGGACTAGTCATGATTAGTCAAAAACTATGAAATACCGTTTGGATCCGTTTGGGGGGAATGAACGTGCAGCCAGCTTTAGGATTCACCAGGGTACCAGACGACTTGAGTCCTTTCTCTCCCCTCGCCCTCGCCACCTTTGGAGAAGGGCCCAGCATATCAAACCCCGGATGAATTGATCAAAAACAATTATATAATAAAATGATTAGAAAATACTGGATGATTTTCCAAAAATCATTTGACTCCGGATGAATTGATCAACCGCTCATGTCCTTTTCTGAGGGCAGGAGCGGTTTGTTCAATGGAAGCTGACCCCTCGATGAATCAACCAACCACTCAGACAACAACGCCTGTCACCATATCTCTGTGCTTGACGGATTTCGACGGTTGAATCGCAATCAGTATGTGTATTGTTGGGTCATGATGGGTACTATCTCATATTATCTCCATGTTTCCATGTCTTACTGCCTTACTGCTCAAATCCCAATGGTTGTGTACTCTAAACCTCCCCATGTTTGGGGGATCTAGTGATTGAATCAAGTGAATCCTGAAAAACAACTCCATTTCTGTTGCTGAACTGGTGCCACCCCAAAGTCTTCCAAAAGGTCCTCTTGACGCGGCAACTCCGGTACGTCTTGGGAATCCTGCAGCGGATGATTCATGCACTCGCCGACGGATCCTACGAAGTTTCCCACATAAAATTGGAACTACCGACCATAAAACTACAAGAAAACTACTTGAACCCTCAAAGACACGGGAGTCACGAAGACAGAAAAACACATGCTGGATATGGCCCTAGAGTTCCATGTTAATTCTAAGGATTGCAAGCTGCTTTGACAAATGTTAATGCCTGATGTCCTCCACAGCATTGGCTTTTGGAGAGAAAAAAACATGGAAATACATTATTTAAATCTACCTTGGGAACCAAAAATCTATAATCTTGCAGGCGTTTACCGGAAACATCAGGCTTTTGGATCTGGTGGTATCTATTAGATCCATTAGTATACGTTCATAAGCGATTGATTTCACCCAGGATGGACCTCCCAATCTCTCCATCACCTTTCGACAGGACAGCAAGGGTACTGTAATTTGTATGAGTATGCAACAAAATGTCATCAAATCCCATCAAATCCGGTGGTTTTGTGTTTTTTCCAACTTCTTGGATCAATATTTTGGTGTACTGTACGCTGTACCACCAAGAAATCTTGGCCCAAAAGGGCACCTCCTCGGGCTCATCTGCAGGCTCGTCGTTCTCGTTCTCGGGCTCTGTCTCCGAAGGCTCCTCGAGGAGACCTTTTTGGAATCTGACGAGACCGGGGCTGGTCCGGGCTGGTTGGTTGATTTTTTGAGATCATAACCAGGTGTTGATAAATTACAACAAACAATTGGAAATTGTTACCTAAAAAAGTATCACGAGGTGGTTTGGAAATGGGAAGTTGGTATAATAGTTAATATTGGAATATATTGGAGATGGTTTACGATATCATGTCATCATTTCTCCGGTTTGAATTAGTTTTAGGCAATACACCCACATCTCAGTGGATGGGAGACATCCAGTGCCCAGCCCATCATTGATACGAGACACCTTTGTCCTGCGATTTCTGTAAAAGCGGTTCCACCTTCAAAGCAGCGGGAGACTGGTGGCTTAGAGAAGCTACTGGCAATGGACAGGCAACCAATATATGACTCATGTGTCAAGACCTAACCTAGGTGCCCTAAAATAGTTGGTTAATGGATGATTATTCCCCCCTTAATATAAATGTATATATATATATATATGGTAATAATGGATTTTGACCCATCCCGATCTGACTGTGTCAACAGCCAGCCTCTTGAGACACCGCTGCCGCGGAGGAACAAGATGTGTCTGTGACGGCAGTTCCTCGGCTGGGGCCAAGATAGGCAGGGTGGATATGGAAATCAACCAGCAGCAACACGATCTTGCACTACGGGCCCAGTGATTCATGGCAAACGAAAAATCGATAAACGCCAACTAAGAAACTGAATTCTCCTAGTCAAGAGAGTTGCATTTGACCTGTTGTACTGTACTGAAACCAAGAATCTGAATGTGGTCAACAAATGCCGCGAAAAGACTGCTGCACATTGGATTTGCTATAGCAAAAAATCCAGTTGGCTTTGGCCGCGACAACAAACGTTGAGATGCAATTGAACAACTAGTGGGAAAAAACTCTACAGTATCGATACTCTCCATCTCATTCACCTAGAGAACAAATGGCCAAACACATCTCCAAAACAACAATGTACCCGAGTTCCGAGATATGTTCAGTCATCAGTTGCTGTCGTAACCTACTTGAGCTTGTTTCAAGTGCCCAGCCCATCATTGATGCTAGACACCTTTGTCCTGAGGAGATTTCTGAGGAAGCGGTTCCACCTTCAGGGTGGAAGGCAGACCGGTGTCTTAAACAAATGTCTGGTAAATAGAATACGAGTTTCTCTGGTGGGTGTGCATTCATGTTCGCTCAAGTCCGTGAATTGATCATATTTGATCCAAACTGTCCTGTCATGAGTGCCCCAGAGGACCGGGAACCTCCGAGACCTACTGTATGTGGATTTCAACATGCAACGACTGGAGCCCATCATGGTCCCAAGATGATCAGCAATATGTCAATGCAGCTGTTGACACGAGCAACGAAATCGAGTGTTTGATGCAGCAGCACAACGGATCAATGTACTGTATGGAGTAGCACTAGTCTCATGCCCCAAAAATCATCCAAAATCGCTATTCGCGAAAAGAAACAAACAATGATACAACTTCTTAGTACACTTTTTGCTTTCTGAACCAGCCCTTTTGAGGTACCTCTGACTCACCCAAGTGTTCTCCAGTACAAAACTACAAAAATCAGCACCATTGTAAATTGGGATATGTGCTTTGGAAACTGGGCCTGCCCCCCAGTCATCTCCACATCAACAACCCTGCGTCACCCTTCCTGCCGAGGGACAACTTCTGTTGGCTCCTGCGGGCTGCTGAGATGATCGAGGCTAAGGAAATGCTTCGGAAGTGGCTGAAAAAAATGGAGGTTTCCATGGTACCCCCAACCCCTCCATTTTAATAGGATTTTCCATTGTGAACCATCCATTTGGGGGTACCACCATTTATGGAACCCCGCAATATTGCCTCCTTGTAATATCTGTTATTACATTTTACTACCTGTACTACCTGACTGAAACTTCATATTGCTGGAATTCATTCACTGCCATGCAACAAGCACATGCAAACCGCCACAAGCCACAGCTCCCCAGGGGCGCTCCTGCGGTTCAGGTGCGATTCGCGTTTCTACTTCCATCTCTGGTGTGAAGGCTGCAGTTGCATCCTGTCTTCTCACCTCCTCTTGTTCAATTCCTGACACTGAGAGCCCAGGTGACCTACCATTTGCTTGGATCGGACCAGATGTCCCACAAGAACAAAAAAAAATAAGTGAAGTCTTTGGCATCACAGACTCTAAAGTTTCAACAGTGGTGGCTTGTTTTATTTCTACATCCATTTTCAACCTCAAAATCAAGTGATCTTCCCAGCGAAGATCCGCAGCCATTAGAACTATATGATAGTTCGTAGTTGGGAAGAAAACACAACACCTCGCCCAAAAATTTCACCAGGGAGTTGAGGTCCATCCGCACACCTCCGGGTGACGGCATCTCGCTGGGCACTGGCACCTCCTGTGGCCACAGATTTGGGTCGATCTGTCCAAGGTCAGACCAGTCAGTTTCCTGATGTGTTTTGATGTGTTTAGATGTGTTTTGTATGAAACCATCCGGTTTTTGTGGATCAATCAAATTGACCCATAACCAAGTCTGACTCTGAGGAAGCTGAAGAATGGGTTCCTGAATCCTGGTGGTTCCAAGTCTCCTTTGGGTAGGTGTATATGATATAGGCTGCATGAAAATCCATCTTAAATCATCCGATGCACCGCTACTGGTGACCTTTGCAGGAAGAAATGATGTTTTCTACTGTCCCAGTCCATTGGAAAAAAACCACGCTATCGATACTGACCTGGTGACAAGGTGTCCGCACTTTGCCGTATCTCATCCCTGAATTCAATATAAAGGATTACCATGGATTACCCAATATCTGGCATCATTCCAAGACTTCAAACTGCTGCACCCATCCCGGTGAAGGAACGCCTTTGAGTCTGAAAGTTCCCGACTATATTTAACAATCAAAACTAGGGGCTTCCTGTAAATTCTCCGTACGAAAGCCATCCAATCGTCCCGAAATGTCTCTGCACTCAAAGCGACCAAATGTGGTAGTTATCATCACAGTACAGTAATATGTATATATATATTATATACCCGTATGCGTATATAACTGATGTATATACACACACAAGTCAAGCCAGTATACACCTATAATTTCCCCTCAAGATACATAATTACATAATGATACACACATTTCTATATATCATGTTCTATCCATTTCTCAGTTTTTTGGTAGTTTTCCCATCCCCAAACCCTTGGAGCTTGCCTCCATCGCTGTGACCTCTTCTTCCGAGTCTACGTCAGTGACGGACTCCGTGTCCGCCTCTCCTGGAGGTGAGATGAAGCGAACCCTGGGAACCTGTGGAGCCAAAGATCCGGAAGTTGATAGGTGGGTTGAAGGGGAAAACGCACACATATTTTATGTAATTTATATTATATATTATATGCACAGGAAATCAGCAAAGCATGGTTTTCTTTATACCAATAAAGACTGGAATATGACCATCAATGAGATAATGAGGAGGAGTGCATCATGAAAACGTGTGGCAAAATACCTTGATTTCCGACAAAAGATGATGATTCCAAAACCATTTGAATAATATTGGCTTACACATACTGTGGATGGAAGAAATCCTGCACCACCTTGGACGGTTGAAACCCTATAAATAGTAGGATAAACCACCTACCAACTGGTGCAGGATTTCTTCCATCCACAGTATGTGGATATTATATTATTACAGTACATGATGGGTATGAAATACCAACAGTAATGAGGTATAAAGCCGACCATTAAGGGGATATAGTGGGATATCATGGGATATTAAAACCAACAATAATATCATATGCTTAACATATTTCATGAATAATAATCATAAAAAAATGATGGTTCTACCATGAAGAAATGCGGATCTAAGTAGGACACATGTTTCTTTTAATTTGAAATTGTCCAAAGATGGTCTATCCAAAATTGCAATGTCAAAAATCATATCTTCCAAGTTCATTTCTTCTGCTGCAAATGCCTATGAAACCCACTCAGAGAGTGCCTGATTTTTCCTGGTCAGCCGCCCACTTTGAGGCTTACTTAAAACAACTCAACAGGGGCTTTGGGCCGTAGTAGCCGGTGGGGGCCGCCTCTCTGTGGGTGGAAACAAAACGCACACCGTTGGGTTGCAGCCAGTTGTAGCCAGCCAAAAAAATCTCCAACAGTTTGGGCACATCCTATTTTTTCGAGGTGATGAGTGCTTTCCATTTTTTTGGGACCCATGACCCAAATCCATTGTGCCACGCATTACTCGGTTCCGGGAAACATCACTGGACCTTGGGATGCCTATTTGGAACCGACCAGTTAGGGTCATCATTGGGTGCTCCAAATTCCTGCCTGGAGGAACTTCCAGGTCCGGAGGCAGCTCCTCCTGAGAGTTGTGGCACCGAACTTAGGGGATCCCGTAGAATAACACACATATATATATATTGTAAAATAGCTTGTAACTAGGCCAACTTGGATTTGTGGTGGATAGATCCATATTTCGATGTTGTAATAGCCCAATTTATACCTGGGGGAGCCCTTCCTGTGGGGGATATAACGGAATATAATGAGGAATAATGAGCATATATATATATAATATATATATATATATAATATATATAATATATATAATATATATATATAATATATATAATATATATACATATACATAGAATATGTATAAACAACAATTGGGGTGACATCTATCCTCATTGCATCACCCCTTATATTGAATACCCTATTAGTTCATGAAAAGTTCCAATACTAAAGAGGTCAGCCGGGCAGCGCGTGGAGCCTTCGCTGCCCATTCCTGGTGATTTCGGCCAGGTGGCCAAACCAACCATTTGAACACTTATTACCCACCAATATTTGTATCACGAATAGTTATATTATGCCAAGTGTGAGACGAATAGCTAGAACCTAGTAGAACCATAATATTACTAAATAGTGATTCTTAGCGACATAAAACTTAACGCGTCACCGTAGTATTCGTATTACCGAATAATTATCATTAATTATGACTACTGTAATGATTATGTAAATATCTTTAAAATATCCTATATATATATATACATTATAGTAAACATTATAATTAGCATAGATTATGTATGGGTCTGTCTAAAAGTGGAGTATGCCATTAACAATGGCAATCGAATAGGGAAAATGATGAGAATCCATTGATCCATTGGGGGTACCGGGGTACCCTATTTTCAGACAAACACATATATCATATGATAATTAATGATGTGCACACTATGATGTGTACATATATATATAAGATTAGATATAAAATTATATATATATATATAACTATATTTAATATTATATACAAAGAGTAATCATAATGATATATAATTATCATTCTATATATAAATATAGTTTAAACACATATATATATATCACCACTAACCCATGAAACTCTCCCAGTCTTGGGCTCCTCCAGCACCACTTCCTCCTGTGATTCTGAGTCGGAGCAGTCCGTGACCGAGGCATTGTCGCCATCGACGCCATCGTCGCCATCGTCGCCATCGTCGCCATCATCGCCATCGTCGCCATCGTCGCCATTGTCGCCACGGCCGTTGCCTACAGGCGCGCAGGGGAAATCGCCTTGTCTTTGGTGAAATCAATGCGTTTCTTGGGGAGATATGCATATATAGATATAATATATTATTATATTTATATACAATATAATATGTATCATGTGTATATATAATATATATATATATATACAAATTATGAATATATGGATTATAGATATACAGTATATAGATACAACATTACATTCTTGACCACCTGCGAGTTTATTGGGTAGAACCCGCTCTGTCCTGCTAGTTCCTCTTCAGAACATTACCCTCTGAGGTGATGAACTGATATCTTGCCGTCCGAAAATTCACGAACCAAGGACCCTCAAAACCCCTTGTACGTGAGTTATTTCTGGAATATTTTGTGGTGATATTTCTGGCTAAATTGTAAAAAACAAAATGCTAACTTGAAATAAGATCAGTTGGGGATGATTCCCCCAAGTCTAAGAATCATTTACACTGACATCATGAGGTATTATAGTATTTTATAGTTCACCCAGACAGTCAACTGTCTCGTTCAGCTTGAACCTAGGTGGGTGTGCATTGGAAAGGGGTCCCTTGGTACCCAATTTGTTCCACTTTGGCTACACCCCTTAAGGGGTGGTCCTTTGAACGTGATATCAATCTGTATCACAATTCATAAGTGGATATTGGACCACCCATCCCAAAAAGATTAGACTCATTGGGATCGTCATCTTAGGGTACAGTGGAAAATCAAATGACACCACTAACCAGATTCATTAGTTGACATACCCAGCAAGTATACCCATGTGTGGTTCAATAAACCGTTTTTTTGGCTGGGAACCCCCACGAGTCTTACTTGGTTGTATACTTGCAGTAAATCGCATTCGATATCCCCATTTCGATCGAATTATATTTGTCAATATTTAGAGTTTTCCAGAAATTGAATATGGGATATTTATATTATACAAATTCAATATTTTCCATATTTATAGTTAGAGTTTCCCAAAACTGCTTACTTTGAATATGGCACTCCTTGTGCGGTATGGGAGATCCCCTCCCGCCAAGGGACTGGGATGTCCCTCAGTCAAGGCAAACCTCGAGCTGATGACACCAGAAATCACCACTTTGATATACTTTAAGGGAGAAAATGATGGATTTTGGGGCTACCCTATTTTCAGACAAAACCATATTTGGTGCTGAAATAACCGTGCTGTTGGGAGTGTTGGAGTTCCCCATTGTAGGAACCCTTACATGAATTTGTACGCAAAAAATAGGTTGTTACACCAAGAAGTTAGGGTGAAATACTAGCCGGTGTTATTCGTCAGACTTGTACAATGTGAGGTAGCTCCCCTCTTTCTCAAAAGAATCGAAAGTTTGCAACATTGATCTCTTTTCTGTGATCCTGTCACCACACTCATAGCCCTCAATGTCTTCTCAAAAACATGTCTTGTCGCTCGAAAAGCGTTGCTCGGAATTGCAGTTCTCAATCGAACCCAAGCCGCTACAGTAAGCAGTCGCCAGGCCCAAGCCAGTCCCAGGTCTCCCAACAATCCGCTTGGTGCTAGGTGTGAATCCACGCTGCATTTGAAGAGCCTAGCGAAACTGCAGAGGAATCCACCTAGGGTCTGGGATCACCTGAAAAAAGAACCCTGCGAACTGAGGATACCGTAGTTGTTGGGTTGGTGTTCTTGGGAAAATCGACAGGAAAGTTCTGTTTTCAACAACTTCCCAGCCTTGGCAACGAAACCAGGCAATCAAATACCCAGCCAAAGGAGAACGTACAGTGTCCCAAACTTGCGCGATAATATCACTTGCATATATGTATATGCATACAGAGTACATCATTATTACAGGTATGCATTTACATACATGTATATAATATATATATATACATATATACATATATACATATATACATATATATACATATATACATATATACATATATACATATATACATATATACATATATACATATATACATATATACATATATATACATATATACATATATACATATACATACATACATATATACATATATACATATATACATATATACATATATACATATATACACATATACACATATATACATATATACATATATACGTATATACGTATATACATATATGCATAAATACATATATACATATATACATAAATATACATATATACATCAATGCATATATACATTTATACATATATACATTTACATATATGCATATATACATATATACATATATACATCAATACATATATACAAATACACATATATACATTTACATATATACATATATACATATATACATATATACATAAATACATATATACAAATACACATATATACATATATACATAAATACATATATACAAATACACATATATACATATATACATATATACATATATACATATATACATATATACATATATACATATATACATATCTACATAAATACATATATACATATATACATATATACATCTAGATATATAGATATATAGATATATAGATATATACATATACACATATACACATATACACATATACACATATACATATACATATATAAAATGTCATCTATGTCTGTAGTATGCATATGCAACACTGTACACTACAAAAATCTGGCCGCACGCCTATCATCCTATCCCGAGCCTCGTTTGGGGCACCGAGCCCGGCGGCGGCGGCCTGCACTGGGTATGTCAACGAAAAATGGGATGTCAATGGAAAACAGTGGTCATCATCATTATCTGAAACATTCTGAAACCATGTATTTCATTGTTTCATTGGGTGATCATTTTCAACCAGTCTTCTTCCACCAATACTCCAAAGAAGCACAAAGCTTTACCCAAAAATGGTTGAATCCTCGAAGTTCAGGGCAAAGTCGCAAAAATGCTTCATGGTTTGAACAAGATTTTAGCTTCAATACTACAGAAATCTACAGAACATGGAAATCATAGAACTATAGGAAGAGATAGGAAGAGATAGGAAAAGTGGAGATGCAAGCAACCAAAATAAGGATATGTCAAACAAAATGATTGGATTTACAATAATCAAAATCAACATCATTACGCCTTGGTTAGAATTCGAGACTCATTGACCCATAGATTATTGAACAAGTTCCTTTTTCCCCTGTTGGGTGATGATTGTACGGGTTTCACTAGCCCTTATACGTATATTGGGGATTATCAATAGATATGAATAGTCAATAGTCCAATATTGGAAATCCTATGAACCAGTAACAAGCTACCTTTGTGCAAAATCCATCAAAATCCAATAGCCCAATAGTTAATAGTATACTAACCAACATGGAGGTTTCCTAAGTCATGGGGATACCGCAATAGCTGGATGGTTTATCTTATGGAAAATCCCAAACAAACATGGATGATAATTAATTTAATAAGTGGGGGTACCCTTGGATTATATGGAATGGAAACATCCATATGTTGGAGATGAGCAAGTTTCCAGATCGGTCAAGCACAATCCCCATCCCGACCTATGGGGGCTGCCAATGTCCGACGACTGCTCCGAGGGCGTCAATTCCAGGGACCTGCGTCCGACATCATGAGAATTCAACATGGTTCAACCAGGAAAAACATGGGAAAGCGATGACAAGCGCATGACTGAAGTTACTCTGGGAGATGTGTGAAATATTGTGAGATTGGGTGCGAAACCCATACCCCAAGCTTCCAGCTACTCTTGAGATAGCCCCAAGACCCCGTAAAAGAAGCCGTGTATTATGTAATACACATGAAGCGAGGTCAATTGAGGTCACCAATTCTGACCTACCTATCAACATGTAACATGGCCATACATTGGGTGCAAATCCAGCTCTGGTCCACTGCTGACACAGTCCTGCAAGCCATCCATCGCTAGGAGTGTAACCTTAGATGGCCTGCAACATGAAATTTGATGATGATCCAAAATCTCAGGAGCTAATAACCAGGAGTTGATCATAGCCAGGCAAGAACGGGCACACGTTCCAAACCTTTTTCCAAAACCATCAGGTCCCACCTCTGTTGCGTAGATGGTTTTCTCTCCGGCGTTCAGTCTCCATAGGAAGGAGGCGGTCTGAGAGCCGGTGAACGGCAGGCACATCGTCCGGCCCGACAAATGGGTTTCCTAAATTTGTCTTGGAAACAAGTCAAACAAGAAAATATGTCTTAGCTGCATAGAATGCAACATATTGGGTAGACGGGGAGGGCTTGCCCAAATTTGATTTTGTTTTGCGCACATTCATGTCGTCCTCTCTCTTTTCTTGCCTCTTGCTTGGTGGGTTGGAGGAAAGAATTTGCAGGGCACTGGGTGGAGCGGGGCTTGGGGAGGTTTTCCCACCTAGCTACATTGAACAGATATTTCTGATTAAATAGCCTTGCAAACGTTCACTGAATCTTCTACCGGAACACATTTCGAGACCCCACGTAGTTTGGTTCAACCACAACCTCTGCTATTGCAATGTAAGTTTGTTTTATGACAAGCAATGGCCAATACAGGGCAGACCCATGCAATTGAGCACTGGCAAATCCTTAGCCTTCGCTTGGGCACTTCTTGTCCTTGGGGGGCTACTTCACCAGCATGTACCTGTGAAAATCAACATGTATGAAACCGTATGTACAACCTGATCTCAGTGGCCACCTGTTTCTTTCGCAATGTTGCCTTGAATTCCTGCGACGGGAACCAGGCCAGTAGCATGCGAAACGCCCTTTGCCATATTTCACAGTCGACCCCGCGCTGGGCACGCCGCGGAGAAGGCTAACGCAAGCAACACCTAGAGCATTAGCGGCAGTTGCCTTCGTCAAGATGGCAACTCACCACGGGCGTTCGAATCCTTGCCTTCATGGGGAAAGCTCTCAACTTTGACGCCCTGAGCTCAGCAACAAACATACTGTATGTCGCCGCGGTTGCTGGTCTTTCTGCCAGCAAGAGAAGAAAGCTTCCACCCCGCACTGGGAAAGGAGGAAGGCTTCAGCCGGCGCCGGGAGGAGAGCCGGCGCCGGGAAGGTGACCCGGCGCCGGGAGCGAGACCCGGCGCCGGGAAAAAGAGAATCCTCCCAACCCGGCGCCGGGAAGGAGGAATCCTTTCACCGGGAGAAGAAGAATCTTTCAAAAGAAGAAATCGTCACATGCTGATGGCAAGAAATAGAGCGCTTCTCCCAGCACCTAGAAAGATAAAACTTAAAAACCTTTTCAGGGCCTCACACACGGACAACCACATGATCAATGAACATAGTATACATTTATATACTGTTGAGCTTGCCGCGCTGTCTTCTGTGTCCACTTCTGTCGGGAACAATGCCAAAAACTAGCTGGTTCATAGCCGACTCGAAGACACCCGCGGACGACGATGGCCTAATGACACCCAAACGTTGTGTCCACCATCATTTACCTTGCACCGTCCGAGGCCTCTTCTCATTCTACACATTCCAAAAAAGTTGAAACTAAGCAGAAAAGTGAGCCTAAGGGAAGCAAGATTTGTTTTTCCCGCCCTAATTATAAATGGGCATCTGCCATGACCACGGGACAAGTACTTTCGCACATAACGGCTATTTCTTGTTTTGTATCAGTGCTCGGGTGGAAAAAGTGTGTTTCACCACCCATAGCCCTGCTACGCTGGAAGCCCTGCTGATTTGGTTCTCTGAGTGGGGGGTGGGGGGGCAATAACGTCTCTATTTGCGTTTTCCTGTAGCACGCACTGTCACATGCTGTAAGTACTTAGCTTATATGTTGTCACATGCCCTACGCTCTCATGTCTTACATACACTACGTCACAACGTTTTACATGTACTTTCACATAGATCACGTTACTCTACGCTGCCATGTCTTACATACATTACGGCGTAACGTCTTACATGTTACTTTCACATAGATCACGTTACTCTACGCTGCCATGTCTTACATACACTACGTCATGACATCTTTCATGGACTTGCACATGGTTCACGTTGCTCTACAGTCTCATGTTTTACATACACTACGTCACAACGTCTTACATGGATTTTAACCTATAGTACGTCATGACGTCTCGCGTGTACCTTCATATAATAGACCACGTTATAACGTGGCCTGTTTAATATCAGTTATACGATGGCAACATGTTTTAGATTTTTTTAGAGGTACTTGGACATACATCCCAACAAGGCGTATGTAGATACCACTTGGTTCACTGAGAAAGTGACGAAATTCAGGACGAAAAACCTGCGCGATCCCTTGTAAGTGTTGTCCAACATATTCCAACATATATTTTTGAAATAAAAATAAGTTGACTTGATGCATTATGAAATGCACATCTGGAAACAATCCATCAAATGAAGATCATAGATACAATGCTAAAAATAGGCTGGCCACTACAGCGAAACGCACAATTTTGATGAAGGCAATTCCCTACATCTTCATGAATTCACATGTTGGAGCTCATCAAGACGGCCCTGAGGTTCGGGCAAAAGCCCCCGTCTACCCAACATATTGTTTCAGTTATTTTTGTGGAAAACACAAGTTACGTACATCTTACCAGGTTTTGGGATGCCGGAATGAAATCGGAGAGGAGTAAACATGTCATGTAATGCCAATTTGAATCGTGGAGTGGACATTCAGGGCCAGCAAACCGTTCTGTCTTTTCCTGTATAATTACCGGCATTTACAATACACTCCATCCAATCTTTTGCTAACCATGTTTACAACCAGTTCGATTCCAATGAAATCTACTACGAACATCCAGTAGACAATCAAGTCTTTTCACGAACATTGTATTCAAGCCTTCCGCAGATGTAGAACACATGTGAAATCAACAATAGCCCAAACTAAATGTTTGCCCAGATACACACCCATTTTTGTTGTTTAAATCACGTCCAATCCCAATTTTTCCGGAGAAAATCCCAAGTTGCCTTGGTTAAGCTACCTATCCACCTAAGGTTTAGCCGGAACAAGGCACTTGCAATTTCGATAACCGCGTTTTTGTTGTTATAATCAACATGGATTGGGATACAGCAGCCAAAAATAACCTGTTTCACTATGGTTATACTGATTATACGCATTTTTTGTGCAAGTGGAACCCTCAAAATAGGTCTTAATTGTCTTCACATGTTCTCACTGTAGGCCGGGTGGGAACCTCTGAGTCATTGAAAACGATGGTTTATTGCAGATCTGGTGTTGACATTTTCCAAACCTTTGCCAAAACCATCAGGTCCCACCTCTGTGGCGTAGATGGTTTTTTCTCCGGCGTCCAGTCTCCATAGGAAGGAGGCGATCTGAGAGCCGGTGAACGGCAGGCACATCGTCCGGCCCGACAAATGGGTTTTCTAGGTTTGTCTGGAAACAAGTCAACCAAGAAAATATGTCTTCGCTGCGTATCTTATTCAACATTTTGTTCATGTTATTTTCGGGGATAAAACACAAGTTGCATATATACTTATATCTCACCAGGTTTTGGTATCCTAGAATGAAATCGGAGAGGAGTAAACATGTCATGTGATGTCAATTTGAATCTTGGAGTGGACGTTCAAGGCCAGCAAACCGTTTGCGTCTTGTCTTGTTTGCCGAAATATATACTCCATCAATTTTTTGGGTAGCCATGTTTACAACATATTTGATTCCAATGATATCTACATCGAATGTCCAATAGCCAACCAAGTCTTTTTACAAACACTGTATTCCAAGCCTTCCGCAAATATAGAACACATGTGAAATCAACAATTTGGCCAAACTAGATATTTACCGTACTATATATTTTGCATTTCTAGCAACAGCCTACCAAGACACAAACCCGTTGTTGTTGGTTAAATCCCATCTAATCCCATTTGTTTTCACGGGCAAAATCCCAAGTTGCCTTGGTTAAGCTACCTATCCACCTAAGGTTTAGCCGGAACAAGGCACTTGCAATTTCGATAACCGCGTTTTTGTTGTTATAATCAACATGAATTGGGATACAGCAGCCAAAAATAACATGTTTCACTATGATTATACTGATTATACGCATTTTTTGTGCAAGTGGAACCCTCAAAATAGGTCTTAATTGTCTTCACATGTTCTCACTGTAGGCCGGGTGGGAACCCCTGAATCATTGAAAACGATGGTTTATTGCAGATCTGGTGTTGACATTTTCCAAACCTTGCCAAAACCATCAGGTCCCACCTCTCTTGCGTAGATGGTTTTCTCTCCGGCGTCCAGTCTCCATAGGAAAGAGGCAATCTGAGGGCCGGTGAATGGCAGGCACATTGCTCGGTGGGCAAGTCTGGGTTACGTTTATTGGGGTATATCGATTATCCGATTTCCCAATACCCAGTTCAAACCCAATTTGATGCCAATACGGCAATGTAAATTAATATAATCAAATTCAATGTCCATTGCAATAATAACAAACCAAGTCTGTTTACAAAGGATGTCTAATTCATTTGAACACTTGCCATTCAAACATGTTCAACTTTTACGAACATCGTGTAATTTCGGCGAAATTTGGAATAGTAATATTAAAGCCTCCAGTTCATGATGCATAGAACAGGCAAAATTACATCAACATTGCTGTCAACTGCCATTCCCACGTGGAAGTACGCCCTCCAACTGGCAGAAAACCCTGCTTCGCCCAAGTAACTGCAGAGCACGAACATGTAAAACCGCAAACAACAAATACAGTCCCAAATTTCCAAAACACCATCAGAACGCAAGTCACCCCAATGGTTGTAAACTAAGGAAAATGGTTAACAAACTGTTGCGCAGTAAAGAAATACATAGTGAATATTACAAAGAAATACATAAACAGGAAAAATGCGAAATGAATAGAACATAATTAACACTATACCTTGAAAATCAAATTGTAGATGTTTGACCAAAAAATGCGCCGTAACTATGAAAATATTAAAAACATAGTAGATAAAACACATTAAAAAATACTCAGTAAAAAAACAAAACTATAGTAAGGAATCTTAACTCAACAACTGAAAATATGAAATGGTAAATATGTTTTATGGTGAAAGACATACAGCAAACAAGCATAGTAAATGTTGTATGATAGTAGCAGCAAAAACCACAAAGTAAATAATATAGGATAGTAAATGATCAAACGCCCTTAAATGATAAATGCTGAAAAGGTGATATTGCATTAAAAGTATGTTGTTGCGAAAAAGAACCATGTGTTAAAACAAACCGCAGAACAACAACAAAAACATAACCCGCGCAACATACTTAAACAACTATTAAGCAATGAGCACCGTAGTGTTTTTTAATTGTTCAAACACTATGATACAAGTTTGGTTGTAAATATTTGAAAGAACACACGTAAATACCATGCAACCAAAAAACAAAACATGGTCTAACAGAGTCTAGCAAGTCTTTGCACGTAAACATGCCAAGTACATGCTCTATAGAAAAAAAACAGCTAGTCTATATAGTAAAACTAATGGTTGTGCCCCATACTCCTTTATTTTGCGATGTTCCATGTAGATGGGCGCCCTGGCTTTTGGACACTGGTGATTAGCCTCCTTTGCAGGAAAATCGTTTCGGGGTTGACTGAACGTGTGGCAAAAAGGGCAATTGCAACACAACTTCAAATGATTAAGCACCTACTGATACCTACTGTCTCCTAAAGCTAAAAGCACATGATTTGTTGATCGCCTGCTACATGACGATGTAAAACATATGGCGACAGTTTCAGATTGTTCTTTTCAGCTTTGCATGTCAACACCGCGTGACAATATCAACAAGTCAGTCTGCCAACTCCAAAGCAAAAAAATGCAAGATTTCAAGGGTGTAATCATCTCATGTCTTTGTTCAGTGCACAACTTTGCATGCAAACTGTGTTGTCTGTCTTTCTGTGCGTGATATGGCAGAAGATGGCAAACATGAACTTCACTACACAGGTTGAAACTTAGCCTTGGCAAGTTGCCAATTGCAACAAAATAATCAAACCCTAAACCCACTCTAAATAAGTGCCATCCAAACGAAAGTCGATGGTTTTTAGCGCCCAAAAGTCGGTTTTTGCTGTGCGCCATTTCTCCGGAGTTGCACGGTGCTTTTGAGCCACTAGTCGGCTGCCCGATGATTTTAGTCAAAACTGAGAATTGAAAAAATGTGACAAAAACTTGAACAAGTGCCGTATTTTCCCGTATGCGGCACGCGTATCTGCGTTCACATGATGCTCTGCGCGCCGCAAACAGTTGGATTTTGGGATGTTGGCTGATGTTGGTAGAAAAATTCGTAATGTTCAGCATCATTTGGGTTGATCACCAAAGTCGATGGGTTTTGTTTCCAGCCACATTTTTTGGCCCTACAAGCCGAAAGTTTTCGCAAAGGCGACAAGAGATTAGAGCAACTTGGGGTCCACTGCCTACTGCCCCGGTATGAGCAAAGTCATGGTCTTTATTAAGCTGGTTCTGATGGACTCTGACCAGACAATCTTAATATCTAAAAGAGAAGTAAATAAAAATAAATAAACCATTTTTGGGGAGAAACTGCATATCAAATTCACATCGAACCCATCTGTAAAAAAACAGTGGTAATAGCACGCTGGCATATGCTGGCAAAAAAAATGCAGTTTTTTTTTGCTCCACACCGTGGTTTTGGTCGCTTCTTATGAGCAGCAGTGAAGGAGCGAGGCCGGCGGATATCATGATCCTGCATGATTTACCAAAATGTATATTCAATCATACAGCACCAAATAGCACATATAGCATTTTCGGGGGGGGGTCTAAACTGGAATTTACGATGTCCCACATCGATTGTTCCATTTTAACCCCCCCTAGTTTTTTGGGGCCAAAAACACTGTAACTTACAATTCGCTACCCCCGCCCCGTTTATTGTAAGTTACAATTTTCCTGCCCGCCCCTAGCAAAACCAATTTTAAGGGGGTGGGGATCTTGGAAAAGGATAAACATATAGCTCTGTGGTTGACCCTCATGTCGAATCAACCCAAATATGACCCCATCGCTGGTTAAATCCCATTAAATCTCAGGTTTTCGGCTGGTCGATTTCCCAAGAAGGTTTTACCCAGAACAAGGCACTTCCTGGGTGGAGATTTTGGCTCAAAGCTGGAGCATCCAATCGATGGTGGCCTCATCAAATGGCATCCCTGGAAAACATGCAGAACTTCCAGGGTTTCCAGGTGCCGCGGTTCAAAAACGGTGGCTTTATCATTAGGAAAACATGGAATTTCAAGAACATGCTGATTTTAGCATTGGACATGTTGGTCCTACTATTAAACAGGATGATTTAACGAAGAACACTCGGATTTCACACCATTTTGCGGTGTCATTTGATAATTGTTCCAATGGTTTGTTTCAGCTGAAACCTCTGCTTTCTTTTTCATGTCTAACATAGGTTGTGCCTGTGCTCTGGCGATTTAAATCATTTTCTTGGTGGGAGAAACCAGAGACCCTCTCCAAATCCCCAAATTCTGTCAGTCTGGGATATCTTGGATCAAGTCCGTTGGGAAGCCGCTCCCAATGGGCCCCACATGGCCATAGAATGTCAATATCAATCATGGGGATTCAACCAAAGGTGAATCATTCACCTTTGTGAGGGTCAACCTTTCGGTATTCCGCCGTTGTTGCTTCCATCATGCCATGTATTGTCATTTGTTGCATGGGAAAAGTCTAAATCTATTCGACCTATTTTAGGAAACCTCAAACCATTCGGTTATTTTAACCTGGTAGAATCAATGCAGTGGTTACACCAGTGTGTGTGGAACCCCCCCTTGGTTCTTCATAATATGCCTTATGGTTTAGCATCTACCACCTATTAGCTAATCTATAGCTGGTGATACCCTTGTTTTGATGATTGTAATCTATGTCCACCATTGGCCTGCATGGTTAGTGTGATAAACAAACAAACCATCACAAAGTCGCAATGTGTTGTTCACCATGTCTGATCTTGTACAAATACCGGTCAAGAAAAAGACTATTTTATGGTAGCCAAAATTTCCCCATTCCCCGGACCAAACAGGGTTTATATTACGTGTGTATATTATATATACATATGTAAGCACAACTACAGCCTCACCGGGTTTACCCAAATAAGATTTACCTCAATAGTTGCTGGTAAGATGCATGATTTCCATGGTAAAATCCTCACGTCTGTTGATTTCATCCACAATCATTGCATCATGGTAAAATCCCCCTGGTTCCTCGTGAATCAGACACCCTTCGCTACCCAGTCACCCTGAAAAGTTGCCCCAGTCGGCTGTGTCCACCATCGCGCTTGCGAAGGCTTCCTGAGAAATCCGCGGGAATGCGTATCTCACTTAGAAAGTGGTTGAAAACTGGTACCCTCCGGCAATTTCACATAGCTACAAAGAAATTGCCAACTTATATGATTTAGATTGATTGACATAGTAAACATGATGTATTTATATGTTTTTTCACTGTAGCTATGTCAAAGTACCAGATGGTATACAAGTGGGGGGTATAAATAAGCAACACTAAACGCACCCCAGAAACGCCTGTAGAAAGGATGGGTCTGTTCGTTCTGGGTTCCCATATGGGAAGGGACTTTCACAGAAAACCCAAGAACTCAATCTTACAATCTCCAACAGAAGTGGGATGATAGAAGTGAAGATGAGTCCAATCTGCGTCCAGTGGGAAAAACAAAACGTATACAACATACTACAACTATAACTTATAACTATAGGATATCATGCGATCCGACCAGGTACATCTGAAAAGTGAGGATCCATGGGGAGGTTATATATTGATTTACGCTACTGCTGCAAATACCATTTAGATAACTCAATTTGAACATATTATCCCACTATATAATCCTTCAGAAAGTATTGTAGATTCAAGTGCTATGTGATTTTATTAGTATTTAGTGGTAGGATTTAGTCACGGGGGCATGTTGGAGGAATTAATACACAAGTTTATCCGACTCTTCCTGCGTTTAACCCCAGTGGTAAAATCCATTTGCGGCGGTAAAATCACCATGCATCGCTGGTTGAATTCTGTATTCAAAGATGTTTTTTTTTTAACGGTAAATTCACCATCTTCTAGGTTTAAGTTGTAACTTGGCTGCTGAAGTCGGCACTTTTTAGGGTGTTCAACCTCCATATTCGTTGGTTCTATCAGCATTGCTGATAGTGAAATTATGGTTTTTTTTAAAATCAAATGCAGCATCATTTTTTGGCGAGATTTCCCCATGTTTTTGTTGGACAAATAGTCTTACCCTCCGGTAATTTAACATAGCTATGGAGAATCGCCATTTCTAATAGGTCCTAATAGATAAATCATCCT